AGCAGTGCGTCAAAGTCCCATTTCCAAGGCTCCGACAAATGTAGCCGACAAATGCATCCTACTATTCCCAGGCAAACGAAGGATCTGGTGCATCCTTAAAAAAAAACACCTTGAAATAATCTTTAAAATAAAAAGTTAGTCAGGTTAGTTATGTAACTTCTGGTGCATCTTTAGCAATGTTTAGGCGACAGGGTACGGATGTGACAGCTGGTGACGTAAACAGGGAATCCTCCATCGACCAGACCGTTTTATTTCAGAGTCGGAGCGGTCTACGTATAGCCTTGGAAGGCTTGCTCCTTCGAAGGATGCTACCCCTGAAAATGAGACACAGCTTAAGTCCACTTTCCTAAACCGAGTTTACGTTCAAAAGGCAACTCCAGCTGTCATAAATATGATGCTTCAGCTGTCTAAGTCAGACAGATCATCGTATCAATCAACAGAGGTGTGCGGTACGTTTTTAACAAGGACACACTGTCTGTGGAATCATGAGGTTTTCACCTTCTCTTTGACATTTTAAAAACTGAAGTCATGCATTCACAGTGAAGAAAAAATGCCACATTTATCGGTAAACGACAATTGGCATTAGTTGCTTCCCTCATTTTGTCCTTACAGTGTTGAAGGTTATCACTTCCTGAAGCACGGACAGAAGACGTAACTACACAGCATCTAATCAGAAAAGACACAGTGAAACACACTCTCAAAATATATTTTAGAAATATACTTTCACGGGTGCTGATTCTCCTGAAACTCGTGGCTTTAATCTGAACACTCTCACTGCTCTGCTGTAGTTTCTGATGTCTGTGTTGGTTCTCAGTCATCCGGCTCATGGTCGATCTGAAGCTCTTCAACCAAGTCCAGTTGCCTTTGGATTGAGCTTTGAATATAGTTTCTGATGACTGGCTTATTTATATGAGAGATAACCAAACCTCTTTGAGAAATCTGCATTTTTCCTGGTTGCTGTAGTGTTTCCTGAATGAGAGTGAAGTAGAAGTGAGGTGAACCCAGCAGGGAGGCAGACCCTCCCTCTCTCCCCATCGCTCTGATACCCTGATCTGTGTTTCCCATGAGAAACCCTGCTGCGTCTCACTGTCCACACTTACAAAGACAATACGGTTCTGTTCTGGCAGCTTCATCATGCTTCAGTTTCACTGCTGTCTACATGGTGTGTGTGTGTGTGTGTGTGCTTTTTTAAATCTCTGGATTGACAGATAGAGTTCTTTCTTTGTTTTTTTGTTTTGTTTGTTTTTCTGCTATGTGTAAATGCTAAAAGACAAATGTATATATTTGATTTTCTAAAAGAAGTGTCGGTTGGTTTGAGTTTTTTCTCCGTCTGAAGGTTTATGTGTTGCAAAAGAATCTGAAGAAAAAAAACTGCTGATGCACGTTCTGCCCTCGGTACGGGGTCTCCTGATCAGATGGGCAGGACTGTCGCAGAGACTCTAAGTGTTGACTGTTTTTTTTGACGTGGAAACTTGTTACATTTTTGCTTGATTGGAAAAAAAAACATGTTCATGTTTAGTTTCTTTTTATTATTTCAATAAATGGCTTTTTTTTGCCATCTCTTGCCACTGAGTATTTTTCAAGTGTTAATCCTGGAGAGCTTGATCAGACTGACTGCTGCTGATCAGCTGTGAACACACGACATGTTATCAGCCAGACTGAATCCTAAAGTACTACCAATAATAATACATTAGACTTATATAGCACTTTTCTGAATACTCAAAGACGCTGAACAAAGAATAAATACAAAACAATACAAAGAAGAAATAATCTGAGAGAAGGAGGATGACAACAGAGTCTCTGATGTTTTTTGGGAGTGAATTCATGGGCGGTTCTCGGCAGGGGCCAACAGGGGCCAGTAGCCCTGTAACACACAGCCCCCCCATCCAAAAGGAAGAGCCCCCCCCCCCTCTAATAACACATACACAGTATTTGACTCAACAACCGGACTCACAATTAAATACTGTTACTGAAACAAATAAATCATGGTATTTAATGATGTGCACTATTATTTGGCATAATACTGTATATATTTATATATATATATATATATATATATATATATATATATATATATATATATATTTAAAGCAATGATCTTTTTAATGTTCCTCTCTGACAAATAAACTGGCCTAGAACCGCCACTGAGTGAATTCCAGAGGGTTGGGAGCAGCAATGGAGAAGGCCCTGTCCCCTCCAGGACCGATGTTACTCCTACAGGAAGTGTGCTCTCTGCGCTACCAGGCTGACATATTTACTAGGGATGGGGATTTTTAGTTATTTCAAAATGCAGGTACTCTCATTACCTTATTATGAACGAGTCATCAATTACTTGCAAATTATTTATTTTTTTAACTGTAAATGAAAGATGTGGGACACAGACCTGAAAGAGGTGGTGAGAGCTGTCCATGAGACTATAGCCACTATGTGGACACGTTGCTGTCTTGGGGGGCCCTCATACATTGTTTCCACTCTTCCAGCTGTTGTTCGGCGTGATGGTGGCTTGTACTCCGGCTCGACAAACGCCATCAGCTCGCGGAAGCCTCCTCCTTCCTCAAAACTTAACAGGAGCATATCTACTTAATAGCAAAGCTAATTAATAGCAAAAATCTAAAAATTATGGACTAACTTACTTTAACCGAAGATACCTAAAGACACCTTGCATTCAGCTGTGCTGCACAAAGATTTAAAGGCAGAATGATGTCCAAACTGTCCGTAACATCCTGACAACGTGCAACAGAGCCGTGTGGGTAAGTGTGTGAGGAAGCAGGTGTAACGTTGGCAGACACACTCAACCCAGTGTCTCTAGATCGGTTGTTTTTTGTTTTGTTTTTGAGCTCTCAATAGAAAAAAAACCCTTATGTTCTCCTCAGCGATATTATTTTTCATCTTCCGCCAAATGTGTCAAGAAAGGCTGACCCACAGTCGAGCCCTTGCACTTTGACCTGAAGTGATGTCGTTGTCATGTCAGGGAAATTAATTATATTCTCACATATTAAACATGTTTTCAATATATTTTCTGTCAGACGTTGACCCTAACCCTATCTTGAAATAATTGTAAAAACAAATGTTGAGACGGTCATATATTGTCAGTAGTTCCCCACCATTTTGGCTTGTGTCCACTTTGTTTTCACAAAACTCCAATGATCCCAGACATCTAAAACGCATACAGCTTATTGTTCAAATTATTATTTATTTCAATCATGTAACAGTTTTCTACTGTGGTACAGGTTAAATATCATATTAAACCCATTTAGGCTTTTTTGTGTGTATTATTGTGGACATAGGAAGAAAGGCTGGGATGGGACATTTCTTTCTTTCTTCTTTTTTCAGACAGTTCTTGTTTTTGGCAAGAAAACAATATGCGCACACTGCACAGGTGCAGGTTACTCGTATGACGTCAACAACTTGCACTCTTGTAGGCTACTAGAGGTGGGATAAAAAACCGATACAGTCTAGTATCGCGATGTTTTGTGTGGTGATATTATATCGTCTCATGGCGGCCAAGTATCGATATTTTTAATGTGATATTTTAAATTTTTGCTGCTGAAGGAGTTGCACAATTCATTTTGAACAAGTTGCATTGTTAAGAATTCATGTTAAAGTTCAGACTGAAATACAAAGAAAAAGACTGAAGTGAGATGAACAGATTAAGATTTTTCTTATTAAACAAAACAGTTCTTGATTTAGTTTAGTGTAGTGGACATAATATGCAGTTAAAAAGCTTAATCGCAATATATCGTATCGCAATTCTCAGCATATCGCAAAATGTTAAAAATCGCAATAGCATCGCATTGTGTCTCGAGTATCGCGGTTTTTATCGTATCATGGGGACTCTGGTGATTCCCAACCCTATAGGCTACTCGAGTAATTGTACCCATCCCTGGTTTATTTATCTTTTTTTTTATACAACTTTATTTACACGTTATTAAATAGAGCGGGTTAAATGATAACAAGAACGAGGTCCTAAGCTCGAGGTATAATTCAAATCATTATGTCATATAAATGACATTAAAGTAAATAAAAATTTCAAACAAGCTGACTTAACTTTAATCAAATAAAAACAAATTCACTTCAAAAAGATTCATTGTTAAAAGGCATTTGTTAAACATTTGAGTGTTTTTTATGAATTTATGTAAAAGATGAAGACATCAAGGTTGGGTTTCTGTTTAAAAATTAGCTGAAATAGATTTGTATTTTACTGATTTAATTAAATGATTAATGACACTTTTTCATTGATGTCAGGCTTATTCAGAATCAAAATCACCAAATTATATCAATTACATTTTGAATTTGGGTTGAATTTCAAATGTTCTGTATAAAACAGATTAAAGTCATTCCAGAGAGTGAGACTAAATTGAGGTTTGTTTCATCAGTGACAAAAGGAGCAAGGAGACAGTCAATAAACAATAACTGAATTCACTTGATAACACCTTATCTGAGACACAGTATTTTCCTGTGCATCAGACAAGTTTTCTTACAATAAATATAAGTGCACAAGTTATCCCTAACAAATATAGATTGAGGTTTACTGAAAGTGTTCCCCTGAATATTTTTTACAAAACATTTATTGGTTTCTGAATAAATAAATAAATAAATACAAGATGTGAATTACCTGTATACAGTTGGTTCTGGATTTTACGATGGCTAATGTCTATGGTAGCAGATAATAATATGATTTTTATACCAGATGAAATGCTGCTCGAGTTTTTCCATAAAGCTGAACCTGAAGTGTTGACGTGGTTGCTGCTCCACCCAGTGGTTAAAAAGATAAAAAAAGAAAAAAGAAAACATGACGTCTGTACAGACACACAAAACAACTCACACGATATCCAAAATAAATCAATAAAATATCTAAAATATTTCTTTACATCAAAAGAGTTTTCCATATTACATTTTTTCATTAAAAATCTTCCGGTGTAAATGTATGTTTTTTTAAGCAGGTGAATGTTTCTTTAAAAGGTGACGACGGCTGTGACGTCATCTCATGATCCGGAAGAGAAACAGTGGCTGCAGTTTCAGCAGCGGCTCCTCCAGCAGCAGTAAGTGTTATCCTCACACTGCGGTATATAAAATCACCTGTGTATTAATGTTATGTGAATAATAGCGTTTAGTCTGAGTCTGAGCCTCCGGAATATTTAATTTAGTTTTAAGAAGAGCAACAAGAGGCTGCAGAAAGTTGTCAGATTTATACAATAATCTATTAAACGAAACATTAATTATCATCATACAGCAGTCATACTGTAGTAAAATATGTCGTTATATTAAAGTGTAGTCCTGCTTTAACGTTAAACTACGTCACTGTGTGTTTTTACCGGTTTTAATTCAATATCTTTTATTTTTTAAAGGTAAGTGTAAAGTGAAAACCCTGACTGCAGACGTGTTTCTAGCTTTCACTATAATGTTACACTCTTTGCAAACGAGTTTTCCTGTCATCATGATCATTTATGTCATAAGACATAGGAGGAGAGGTTTTTATCCATCTAAACACACGTCTATATTTCATGAGTTTGCCTGCAATGTTTGATAATTGAAGCCAGACATCTTGAAGCGTAGGACTTCTATTTTTGGAAGGTGTTAATAAACTTTGACTTTCACTTGTAATATCGTATCAAAGTTTAACATTCTGGGTTCGTGACAACCCTGGTTGATTGGGAAACATATTGCCAAATAATCCACTGATTTAGTGAAGAAGCAAGATGATAAAGAAGAATTTATGGATCGGTGTTTTCACTTCGTAGTCATGCATTTGAGCCATTCATGAGTGAATCCACATGTTGATCTTTATGAAAGGACAGTTTCATGTCTTAAGAAGAGAGAAGGGTTTTCATGATACCCCAAATTTCAAGATTTGATAGTCTAGTAATAATCAAAGAGTATTGATTCCTGTTTCGATATCACACTACACAAATAGAAAACCTCTGCACCAAATATTGCAGCCAGGCACATTGTGTTAATTGCACAAATAGGCTGCCAATGCATTGTGCAATGTAGGCAGTGTTCTCTATCTGAAGGTCTGTAGTTCTTTAAAAGCATCAGTAGTTTTCAATAATATTCATCCGCCCATTATCTATATCCATTAATCTTTTGTTGTCTGATCCCAGATGTTATTGGGTGAGAGGTGGGGTACACCCTGGACTGGAATGCCGGTCAATCACAGGGCAGACATACAGAGACAGAAAAGCAGCCACACAGAAACCCACACATGCACGCTGAGCACATGCAAACTCCACACAGAGACGCCCCCTCCCGATCTGGTTTCAAAAAGGATTAAAGTGTCGAAATATTTTGCAACCCATAAGGGGTAGAGGACAGAGTACACTGTTAAAGTGCAATCTGAGGCACGAGTACTTGAGTTTTTTCATTTGTGCCCTCCACTTTGTAATTCTTCTCCCCTTTATTTCAGAGTGAGGTGGAATCTGACAGACGGAGTTTCTGGTTTCTTTTCAGATCCAGATTGTTCAGTAAAAGTACAATCAGCTTTCTCACTATTTTCATTCCGTCTTTGTAGCGATGAGTTTCGGCGTGCTGGACGAGCAGAGTTTCCGTCTCTGCTGTCAGCTCCTCCTGCAGCAGTCGGAGCAGCTGAACGACGGCTGGAGCTGGGAGGCGGTGAAGGTGAGGAGGTTCTCACGGCAGCTGTGAGAGTCTGACAGCCTGCTGTGGGCCATCAGTGTTGTTCACAGTTAATTGCTGCTGATGTCGATTTAGGGCTCAGAGGAGGGATACCTGAAGAAGACGGCTCTCAGGTCAGTCATCATCGACTCGAGCACAGAGTGGGACCTGGAAGGATCTGACTCAGACACCCACGCATCCTGTCAGGAGACGGAGAAGGAACAGGTGAGAGACTGAACTGTAAATGAAAGTCTTCTGATGATGTGATATCAGGCGGATTCAGCTCTACATCTTTAATGATAGAGGAGTTGTATTTCCTGAATGTGGGACAGCTGCCGATTAAATAGTCTGTCTCCACAGACGGCTCCTGCTTCCATTGATGATGCTGGCGATATTAAAGGCGACTTGGAGGAGGATGAAGACGATGAGGATGATGGCGTCTGTGCAGAGTCTTCAGGCAGCAGCCAGGTGCTTCAGTACGAGTATCACATTCTGTTCTCCTGCAGCTACAGCGCTCCTGTGCTCTATTTCAGAGCCACAACTCTGGGTCAGTTTCCTGTTAGACTGCTGCTGAACTCACACACACACACGCACACGCGCACACACACACTCTCACCCTCTGTAACGCCTCTGTTACTACCTCCGAAGACAGTAAAGAGGAGGGATCACTTCATCCCCCCATTATGCCTCTGTCACTTTCAGATGTAAGTGCGACAGTACAAAGCTGCAGCCATCCATCCATAATGGTATCGGATGATCCCGTCCAGGTGTCGTGGGAAAGCAACACAAACTCCTATATCCTCCTACGCAGACTGTCTAGACTGCTTTCAGGACAATGATGCAGCTCATGATACTCAAAATCCACAAATTCTGTTTACAAAAGTCGATCATTCAAACAGTCAGCAATCATGGGGCAGCCCTGTTTCTGCTTTGTAGAAAAATGACCCCAATGTAGCTGTTGCATTAAAAGATAGTCTTTTCACTTGTCGTCTGTATTACATGAGTAAAATATTCCTATATATTCTAAGTTTATTAATACTCATAGTCATATGCATGTTCTTCTTGTTGTCTTTTACTGCTGCAGCACTTGAATTTCCCCACTGGGGATCAATAAAGGATCTTATTTTATCTTATTTTGTGCATTCTTTGTCTTGTGTCACCATGTCAGAGGGGAGGAGCCTGTCCTTAGAGGAGGTGTGGAGCTCTGTTCATCCGAACTTCAGACTGCGACTTCAGTGGAGTCCTCTGAACACAATCACTCTGCAGGTACAAACCGTCAGATTTCTTATCATCAGCCCTTTTTACACATTCATGCACTCCAGAAATATCTAGAAAATGTTAGGACAGCGGGCCCCCTGAAATCTTGTAGTAGGTTTTTGCTGTCAGATGGGTGGGCGGGTGAGGTCTCAGGAGGGAAGACATGACGTGAAAGGATGCTGCAGAAGTCACAGAGTAATGTTATGAAGCTATGATGACAGTCTTTGCCTATATATCAATGCTAAATGTTATTGGATGTAGCCACTGTATAAACAAAAGAATGCGAAAGAAAATACAGCTGAGCACAAAAAAGAGTTTGAAGCAGCTTTGTTACGTGCATTAAGATCCTCCCGGTGACGCACTGATCACAGGATATAAACGTCATCAGCCCTCCTCACTCGCTGAGGGTTAATATTCCAGAAAATTTCATGTAACGTTTCCACATCAGCTCACCCTGGCTTCAGGGCGCTGGCAGGACAAAGTCTGAGTTAATTGAGAGAGACAACATTGGCTGTTTGAGTTTGTACATGCAGCTCACACTGATAATTTGGGACATTTTAAGGAGTTTTCTTGCATGTGTGAAAAGAGCAATCATCAGAATTGTTTCTTATGGCCAAGTACATTTACACATACAAGGAATTTTGACCAGGTGTTTTGTAGCAAAACAGTTTGCAAAGGAAAATCTTCTTCCTCCTTGAATCCTCTCTCTCTCTCTCTCTCTCTCTCTCTCTCTCTCTCTCTCTCTCTCTCTCTCTCTCTCTCTCTACAGGTACAGCTCAATTAGGCCGCTAAATTGGAGCGACACCGAAAACCGATTTATTGACAGAAGTATGTCTGACTCTGCTACAATAGGTCGCTATATGTTATTATACGACCTTCTTAACAAGTTAGCAAGCAGAAAACTGGTTGTAAGTCGAACAGGGAAAACGTAAAAAAAAAGTTCAACTCTGTACATTTCATACGTACTCTATACTTTACCTTGATGCATGTTATCCGTCTAGCTTATGTGGATATTGCAGTTGCTATGCCACTTTTGTTATCCTACGTATTTATGAAGTTCCACTTCCAGGTCAAAGCCTGGGGCGGGACCTGTGGAGCAAGCCTAGTCCAGTTTGGGTCAGAGTAAGGTGTATACATACAAGAGTAATTCAAACCCAAACTGCATTATCTCAGTGTGTTCGTCCAACTTTGAGTCATTTTGACTTAGAACGATTTTAGTCAGACTAACATGTTCAAATGTATTTTAAAGTCCAGACACAATCATTTGACTTTATCTAACTGCACGTAAACATGTTTGTTTGTTTGTTTGTCAGGAGCACCCCCTGCTGGGTCAGCCTTTCTTCATGCTCCACCCCTGCAGGACAGAAGAGTTTATGAGTCCTGTGCTGCAGGCGGCTCACCACCAACACAGGTAGAGTACTCCTGGGATTCATCCAGGAACATCTACATAACTGCTAGATATCTGTCTCAGTCATAATATTCACTGTGTGTGTGTGCAGGCCTGTGAACTACGTGCTGTCGTGGCTCAGTGTGGTGGCTCCTCTGGTGGGTCTGGAGGTCCCTCTGAATTACTGCACCCTGCTCCGTCCTGCAGCATCACCTGACTGAAGCTACACCTGATCTGTCTCTACCATGTCAGCATCACTGTGACTGCTTAATAGGTTAATAAGATGAATATCTGGCAGATAAAGATCTCCTTTGATAGTCAAAGTGTTAGTCGCTCTCAGAACTCTCTTACTCACAATCGTTTCATGGAGCTCCGGGGTCAAGGGAATCTGGGCCAGTTCTTTTATAAGGGTTGATCTCTTATTTCAGACATAACCCCATAATTAGCAGGTTACCATGGTGATTAACCCGGGTGAAGAAGTGAACCACCATCCCAACCCTGAAAAGCCAGGGTTTAACCTGAAATAAACTCACTAACCTCTAATCCTTCTTTGTATCACGGGCGTCAGAATACCATCCTTGGGTGTTTTCAGAGCAGGATAATCTTATTTTGTCTGAGACAAAACTGTTTCACATAACTGCTGGAAAATACATCTTCAACTCTATTTGTCCCTGAAGGATGATTGGTTTTGCATCAAGACATAACAAGTACAGAAAAAGAAAACATACATTTAAAAAGCTAATGAGGTAAAAAAAAAAAAAAAAAAAAAAAAAGGGTAATGCCAGAGGCATTGAATAATAACAGCCTACATTACAGAATAAAGTGCTGAGTCAACATGAAATATACACAGGTCAGTTATGTTCATCACTAGTAATGACACAATTATTCATCACAAACAGACCAAAACGACACAGCCAAGGTCAGCTATGAAATGAAACACAACAATAGCATCAGCATCATTTGAACCAACAGCATAATCAACACAACTAACCTTCCCACACTGACTTAAATTAAGAAGAGAAATGGTACAGGGGACAAAAGAGAGCTTGTATCAATGGCTTTTTACAGAGGGACATCTGAACAGAGAGCCAGGCAGTGGGCACAGCACTGAGTGACAGGATGGATTTGACTTTATGCAGAGCATGTTTGTTTGTCTTCTACTTTGTTGGGCAACTATGATTTTGCCAACATCTGTTTAATTATGTGACATGAATGTAGCAAATGTCCATTACAGTAAATAATAATATTCTTTAAGGTTATGGAACCTAATTCACGCTTATTACAGAAATACAACTTATGGCTAATTTAATGGACTGAAAACTCAACTTGATGTGACCACAGGAAAAAATAAACAAAAAGAGCCTCTTATGTGTCAGACCAGATTTTTTATTGACCCATCTGAATCTCTGATACGTGCAGGGCTGGCACGTGGCATAGGCAGTATAGGCAAATGCTAGAGGCGCCTGCCATCCATAGGGGGTGTCCTGGTACCCGAGATGAGTGAGGAAGAAAAGTTGAAGATAATAAGAAGAAAAAGAAGGAAATGCGTTTTACTGTTACTTAATTTTAATCTAATATAATTGTTGTGCTATTATTCAGAAATCTAACAAAAGGAGCCAAGAAAGCTTGACTACACCTATTTAAAAGGCTCAGTTTTCTTTCTCCCTGCTCAACCTGATGCATCGCAACCATAGACTGTAAATGTGAATCACAACAGCGCTGCTCATTACCTGCTCTTTGTGGGGAGGAGGGTAGAGGAGCTATCAGTGACACTGATCGTACAGATAAATATCAGGTTTAAATGAAGAAAAGCTGTAAAACATAAAACTGGATGCCAGTTTTCTTTAAGTGTATGAATATTGTGATTGGTGTTGGTGTTGGTTGCAATATGGGGCATCAGCTATATGTGCACACTTTGATCCCCTCACATCCTGCACGTTTTCTTTTTATTCCTTCATTTTGTCCTCCGTTACACTGTCTGTCTCTGCCCCCAATTTTGGAGAAATGTTCCACGGTCTCTTTACAAGAACTGACAGAAATAATAGGTGGCATGAAAACATCTTCCAGTTCCCTTGACATCATACACCCTCCTCTGCTTAAACAAGTTATAGACTCAACTCATTAATATCTGGTCTGGTTCCATCCTCTTTCAAACATACTGCTTATGAAAATGAAAAAAAAAACCTAACCTCTCTTCTCACTAATGATCTGCTGATGCTGGACAATGCTCAGTCCTGGTCCTCCTAGACCTCAGTGCGGCTTTTGGCACTGTGGAGCACAGTTTGTTGATTGAGAGACTCAAGCAGTGGGTGGGTGTATCTGGTTAACTGTTAACTGATGCCGAATGCTTTGGTGAACAGGTAATGTTTGAAAGTTTTTTTTGAAGATGTCCAGAGATGCAGCAGTGCGGATTTCGACAGTGAGAGAGTTCCAGAGGGTGGGGGCTGAGGCACTGAAGGCTCTGTCACCAAAAGATTACAGTTCTGGTGTGGGGGTTTGAGAACAGGCCTGTGGCTGAGGATGGAAGAGGTTGGTGAGGTTCGGTGGGGCTAGATCATGGAGAGATCTATTGGTGACTAGGAGGAGTTTATATTGAATGCGGGACTTGATCGGGAGCCAGTGGAGGTGAATGAGGGTGGGGGTGATGTGCTGCCAGGGCTTGGTGTGTGGGGACTGTTCAGGGCAGTGTTTGGTAGCCCGAACAGAACTCCATTAAAATAGTCCAGGCGGAAAGTGATGAAGGCGTGGATGAGTGTCCCTGCCACAGGGTCGGGGAGTGAGATGTTTTTGAGGTGGAAAAAGGCGGATTTGGTGATGGACTTGATGTGGGATTTGAAGGAAAAGGTGGAGTCCAGGATGGGATTAGTTACTTCTGGTGGTCTCCCTTCATAGCAACCTCTACCATCAGTGTGTGAGTGGGTAGGTGTGACATGTGGTGTAAAAGCGCTTTGAGTAGTCAGAAGACTAGAAAAGCGCTTTATAAGCTAAAGTCCTTTTACCATTTACCCATTAACAGAACTACAGTCATCTTTGGAAGTAACAGGTTTGTATGTGTGAGCAGAGTGGTTCATTTCTAATGCTAATTCGGATGACATCATCTTCTCTGCACATGAGACACTGGAGTTTTGGTTGTTCCTTTTGTCCTCAATGTAAAAAAAAAAACAAATAAGTTTATGGTGTCATATTTGCAAATTTACCAAGCTAACTGGCAGCATAAAAAAACTGTTGTACTTTGATGTTTTCTTCTCTTGTTGTTTAAAGGGTGATGACTAGCTTTAACCCTTTGACTTCCACACTAAGAAATACATTTACAAAAAAATAATTGTTGGTAAAATTGTGTTCATGCCTCTTCATTAAGCAACATTTCTGGTTATATTTTTCAGATTAACCAATAAGGAAGCAGATATGCAGGTCAACCAGCTGGTTGACTTGCCTGTTTAGGGTTACTTTAGGCATGAATGGATTTCTTTCATTTCTGCGACAATTATTTTTGTTTTTTTCATATATATACATCACAGAGAGTAGAATTTGTTAACATAACATTTCATTTATTTTAGAAATTGAATGAGTAGCAATGGTTAGAAAACGCAAACAAAATAAGTAATTAGCGAGTTGAGCCAGGCTGTTCACGTGGATTGGCAACTCAACCGAGCGGTCAACCACGTTTTCTGAGGAATCGTAGATATATATTTTATTGTCAAATTCATTTCCTTCAACCAAAATAGGATTGTTAGAGGATCTACAAATGATATGTGAGATTTCTGAAGAGCTGTGCAGTGCCGAGTCACTTCCGTTTTCAGACAATGATATTTATGTACAGCAGCGCCACCCATTGGATATAATAGGTGTTACATACACCATTCAATGAGGTGAATGAGGATAAACAGCCAAAGATAGGTTTTCAGAGTTTAAAATATAGCAATATGGTGGTGGAAAAAAGGTTAAAGGTCAAAAGGTCGCATGGTTACAATTCAAGTCAAAGGGTTTTTAAGGTGCATCGCTTCAACCTACCGCCACCTAATGAGTACACAGCAAAAAGACCAGTGTTGAATTTACTCCCACAGAGTTGATTTCAACCCTTTTTCAGGGTTTATATAGGTCCACACTTTCTAGAGTCAAATCAACACTTTTGAAATAGTTAAACATTTAACACTGAGAGAGAGTTCCCTTTTCAACTTGCTAAACAGAGTTAAAATAACACTTAGGGATTAGACAAGTAACTCTACTAAGACACCTTTTTTTACTACCTGGCTGGTGTTAGTTTCACTCCATTAAGTGTCAGGTATATCTATAAAGGGTTAAAATTATTTGTAAGAATGATTTTAAATGGAATTTAAAGGAATTTTCAAACAGTGACATTTTATTTTCTCTGTAAATCAATACATTGTGAATGAAGGTACAATATGCAACTTCCACATTTTTCAAGGATGTTTAGAAATTCACCAATGCTGCATCATAAGACATGTTAAACACAAAATGTGCTATGAAAAGTTCATCAAATGCCCAGAGGGAGCGGTTTGCCCGGCATGGGATGAGATGCTTATCCATGGTGATGCAGAAGCTGTCACTCTTGCTCTTCTGACGTCCAACAGGGAGGAGGTGGATACTGACTCTGCTGGCTGCGGAGATGCTCCTCCAGACTGCAGCAAGTCAGATTATTTATCCACAAGGATAATGTTAATAAAGTTCCCTTACAAAACCCATTCCATCTCAGGTGAAATCAAAGTGAATCAAATCATGTAGTCAACCTCCTCCAACTTCACATACTTCTGTAGTTGTTTGTATTTTACTGGAACCAGCAAATTTTCTGAAATAAAAGTTTGACCAAGTTAATTAACACAAAAGGAGAAAATAAAAAGGGTAATGCTGGTGATGCTCACAGGGCAACTATATACATGTTAAACATGTGCCTACATGCTGGGGTAGTGCGGTTAAAAAATAAAAAAAAACAGAGAAACATTAGCTTCAACCTCAAAATGTAAACATAAAAAAGCATATTGTCATTGCTACCAGCTTTAAAAGTGCCTTATTTATTTTAATTTATGATGTTTAAATGATTTTAAGGGTTAGCTAACTGCACGAGGCAGCTTGCTAACATTAGCTTATCACTGTGACTGTGGTCATTTAGTTCATGGCAACACACAAGTCCTTTTAAAGTAGATCATCTCCACAGATATAGTATATTACAGTTGTTCAGAGAATCACATTACTTTTTTACATTTATTTTACTTACCGAGTAGAACTGCAGAGGAGGAACATTTCTCTGTGTCTCCAACTGACAAAGTGAACTGAGCGGGAAACCTGGCCGGAGCTTAGATTAATTAACTCTCTGCAGAGTTGAACTACAGTTGACCAACACTAATGGATCAACACTGTAAAACAACTCTAACTCTAAACCCCATTTAAATCACAATGAGTTAAAATCACACATTGGGAGTTGAAATCAACTCTGAAATGTTTAACCCTGAAATTTCAACTCTCCAATTTAAACAACCCTACAACACATGTTCTTCAAAATAAAAGCGTAGCATTGATTTTTTGAGAAAACATTTCTCCCCTGGCAGGTAGTTTAACAGTATCCTTACAGTATTTACATATCTGATTATTGATGATAGAAAGGTAAGAATGTGATGATATACAACCAGGTTGTAAACACACTGTTTCAGTTTCGGCTGCTCCTCCTCCT